ACCTCAAACTCAGGACATTTTGCAGATCCCTTTGCTTTCTTCACCCTAAATATATACACAACATCAATTAAATGTTAGGATTTTATAATACACATACTGCACTACTCCAAAAGAAGCCAAGCTGCAATCAGAGGTTCATATTCATAGCTGATTGATGAAGACACAGTTGACAGCAGAAGAAGAAACACTATGTTCATTTCCAGAAAAGGTACCTGCAATGATCTAAAAGTGTAGTTAAGATAGGGGGGTAGTTATATGGTAAAACTTTTCATTTGGTGACTAAGAGCTACCTGTTACTTATTACTGAATCAAGACTGACTGACGGGTACAATTTTCTCTTCAGATAGCAGTATTAGAGTATAAGTCGAACCACTCGGGAAATAACTCTACTTAGTATGTGGAAACACAGAAAAATCAGTATTTATTCACCAACCTCGTGAAAACTTTTGATAGATAGGATTCTGCTCTGTGACCAAAGCATACAAAAAATAAATAAATAAATAAATACAAATACCCACACAGACGAAAAGATTATTACTTCAAAGGTTGATATGGGTCAAACCAAGACTATAGAAATGGCACAAAGCTCATTTTTAATTAGACTTCCTAATGTGACATCAAATTGTTTTTCATCTAAGGAACAGCACTTCAACAAGGCATGAAATCCTCACAGTTTATTTTATTAGGAGGCAACAAAGGGATTCCAATCTGTTACAAGAAAGTTTCACCCTACGAGCACAGCCAGCACAGTATAAAATTGTGTCATATGAATTTTAATGTGACACAAGTATGAAAGATTCCAAAAGAACAAAGGGAGTACAGTCCTGTTCTATGCTACACAAATGACCTCTTCTGATCTGAACAGCACACCACATTACAATCAAATTTATTTCAAAGGAGGGTCACACAGGTCAAATGTAATGGCTGCAAGAATGAGGTATTTCCTTTATACAGTATTAGGGAAAAAGCAAAATATCAAACAGCACAGGAATGCCAAGAGTACTGAAAAGAAAGGCATATCTAGGCTGCAAGGAAACAGATTTTAAAAAGATTTTTAATTACAATTATCCTCACCGACTACAATTTTTAGGTTTCAACAATACTTGTGGTATCTCGATGAAATGTCATGTATACATGCAAGACTGATTACTATATGGGCTTTAATATGTATTTAAAATTACAAGGCACCATAGACATGTTTTAAGTACAGCTCATGCTGAACAAAAGTAAGGAAATAAACTAAATGGTCTAACTGGGTGGATGTCTCTTCCTAGCCTGATAGCTCCATGGCAGAAACCATAATAATCCCAATGGAGGCAGATGTCAGATAACAACAGAGAGGCTGATAAAGCTCCTCATTTCGGCAAGCTGACTATCTGACCCTACATCAAAAGGAGCTACTTTAACAACCTAAAGATATCAGAAAAATGAAGTCTACTTGAACATACTGGACTGTCTGAACACATACAGGAGTCCATTAAGATGCAAATCCAATGGTAGATTTGATGATTATGGTGAAAAGGCTGCAAAATTCTCAATGATCAGGTATCACCTAAAAAAAGTAAGAGCAAACTATCACAGTATCTCTTGCCCTGCAGTCCCATCAAGACTTAAGTCTCATCTTTGACTTCAAATAACCTTTCTGAATAGAATCACTTACTGATAGCAAAATAGCTCTAAGTCCTAACTGTAGCTCAGGCTGAACATCTGTCCATCCTCCATGACTGATGACAGCACTCATGCATACTATTAAAACAATTTGCAGCTATGTGGGAAGTAGGTAGCCAGGGTAACAAATATTTAAAGAAAGGTACAGCTGTAATAAAGCAGAGGTAAATATCTTATACCTTTGGGAGGGAAATCATAAAGAGTTTGCATTTTACAAAGTACAAAATCAATAAAAGGAGGTAATAAGAAGACTTACAACTTGGGATTCTGAAAACAGAATTCTTGGAAAACTAAATTCTACCAGACCAAATTAAAGACTGTTACTGTTGGATTTTTTTTTTTTAAATAAAATTACATGCGCTATCTGATCTTGCTGTATGGTTTTATGTCACACAGATTTACCTGAAACTTAATACGTTGCATTATATTGAAGTATCTTCCATTTGATTCCCAGCCAGTGCTTCCTCAGTCATGAAACAAGACAGAGTAAAAGCTGCACTGGAAGAATTTTAGTAATGAGTTGGCTACCAGCCTAAAGGTTAGAATTACTTTTATTGCCCAAGTCTAGCACCAAAATTGGTATTAGTCACCTCAGCTCTCCAAGTTCTCATCAATCTACTTTTCAGGAGACATCGAAATATACAAAGAATGTATACTACTATGACCAACAAAAAAAAAAACAAACCACAAAAAAAAGCCAAACACCCCCCCTTCCCCCCCCAAAACAGCAATTTCCAGTGTATTAGAATGAAACATAATCAGCAAGAGGTACAATTCTATTTACATATTTCAAGATTATCTTAGCCTTCATTTCCAGAACCCATAGCTCTCCTCTCTCCTTTCAATGTTTTTGGAGGTTAAAAATATTCATTTGTTAACAGACATTTCTATCCCTGAAAACTGCTATATTCACCCACATTATGACAGCTCTAGTGCAATTCATTAAGGTTTGGATTTGGAGACAAACACAAGGGAAAAAAAAACCCCACAAACCTTTAATGTTTCACTTAGTGACTAAAAATTGCATTCATTTAAAAATTCAGTCACAAGAATCCAATTATCTATGGATATATACACACATATTCATACCTTTCAACCATCACACTCATCTGAATTTTGATGCTATTTTCTATAAAACATAATCCATTTTACATTGTACTTAACAGATTTATTCAGATGTGCATCCCTGTATGTCATATTTAAGCGTATATCACCACCTGCCTGGGGCTGTATAGTCTGATTGTTGCCCACACACACACCTCTTCAGTAGGAGAAAATTCTCCATTGATCCTGTCTGAATTGTTTCACTTCTGCTTAGTGTAGAAGTATGATAATCATTCTGACCATGAATAATATCCACTCAAAAAAATGGAGTTATATTTCCACCTCCTCAAAAAAATCAGATTGTCTCAAAATAAAATATCCAAGCTACTTAAGATATGCTGCAATGACATACCACTGTTTCCATAAATTCATTTTCACAACTCAGCAAGTATCATCCAACACTACTGTAATATGAACTCCCCATTTGTTGCATACACACTACACACACAGGTATATAAAAGTATTTGCATACAGAGAGATATGCATAGACATAATTTCACACTTAAATGACTCTGAGATACCTTCAAATACAGATTTGCAGATCAAATAGATTAACCCTGCTTTCAGCTACCAACATCAAGGTGATGGGACACCATCTCACTGCTTTGTGTTGGGCGCATCTAATAACACTGCTGAGCAAACTGATGAGCAAAGATTAAGCAGAGGACTGCTAAACTAAGGCTTAGAAATTGCTTCTTCAGATAGACTAATGATTGACTGATGCATGGAGTGACTCTAGGGATGCAAAATCATTAATAAGAGCATCCATTCTCTTTGAATTCACACCATCTCTCACACATTTGGAGCTGGCGCTATTAAGGGTTGGGACCAAACTCTTCTGTGCTCTTTTGGAATTAACAGCCCTGCTGAGGCACTGAAGTGGTCCAAAGGTCAGTTTATGATTAGTCTCCCACCATCGCGCACACTGTGTCTGCAAGCAAAGCACGGCATCTTGGGGGAAGGGAGAAGAGGGGAGGAGGAGGAGATAAATACTAGCACTGTGATAAACTCGCAGAGCACAACTTGGGAGGATGGGAGATTTCACATGGCCCCTGCTCTGTTAGGTTTTGAGGGAAGCAGGGAGAAGCAGTCCACCTTCCTGGAGGGGAGAGCACGCAGGGACCCAGTACTTCACCTGGAGAAAAAAACACGGGTGAACCCAAAGAACCGCTCCAAGCCCCAGCCAAGTTCAGTTTCTAGCTCACAGTGACCCTGGTCTCTTGGGATTATTGGCAACATCAGCAGCCTCAAGGATTCCAGCTCCCCTGAGTCTTCTCGTTCCCACACACACAAAGGGTAGGAGAAAGTCCGAACTGGTGAGTGCTGGGACTCTCTGAAGTTTAGAAAACACTGGCTCCTGAACGCTCTCTGCTCCGACTTCACTGCCTCTTCAAGGCTCGCTGCGCCCCAGCAAGGAAAGTGCCCGTGGTCAATCTGGTAACACGGTGTTACCTTCGGTCTCACTGAACATCCCAGTGGGTGCAGAAGCCAGCCACCCTCAGCCAAGAGTCGGCCACTAGTTTTGATCACTGCCAGCCTCTTCATCTGCCTTTCAGTCCAAGCAGCTCACACCCCCTTCCCTCCATCCCGGCCGCCCGTTCCGCTACAGGCTCCCCTTCCCCAGCACCCATGCCCTAGGGCACCAGCCCCCTACTCCACTTTTCTTAGTTACTAGTGGGCTGTTCTGGTACCAGCCTCCAATACTTTCAGACCTTGCCCTGATTGAAGACACCCCCTTCCCGAAACGAAAGGTGGATGGATGGAGAATCTGTGCACAAAGTTTTTTACAGATCCTGCCTGAGCCTTCCTCACCCACCCAAGCCCCAGCAGGGCGAGGGGCAGGCGGGGGTAAAGTCGCCCAAGGATAGGGTGTCTGCCCTGGCCTGAGCTGCGGGACTCGGGAGGACGCAGGGATGGGGCGATGCTTTCCGCTGACAGTGACCCTGGAAGGCGCTCGCTAAGAAAGAAGGGAGGAGCGACGCTTTCCCGGAGACGGAGAGGGGCGAAGCCGGCTCTCTCCGATGTGCAATGGCAGCGAATCCCCACCGACCCTCACAGAGACGGGAGCGAAGTCCGAACAGCAGGGGCGGCGGCAGCAGCAGCAGGTCGCCGCTCCCAGCGCTGGCGGCCCCAGGCCGGGGGACCACCGCCCCCAGGGCTGCCTCCCGAGCAGCCAGCGCCTCGCCCCCACCCCGGCCCCCACCCCGGCGAAGGGAGAGCTCACTTACCCCCAGCTTCCTGCTACGGATTTTCACGTAGCCCTGTTTGACTATATCGTTAAAGTTGGAGGCCATAGCCAGCGCTGCCTGCTTCCTCCGCTCCGCTCTTCTCGTCCTCCTTCGCCGCCGCCTCCTCCTCGTCCTCCTCTTCCCCCGGGCCCTCCTGGGTGCCGCCGACCGCCGGCTCCCGAGGCGCCTCTGGCATTCAGGCAGCGGCAGGCGCCGCGCTTCGCTCCGCGCTCTTCCCGCGGCTGCTCCGCCCTGCTCCGCCCCGCTCCGCACCTGGGACTGATTGCGACCGCTCCGCTCTTCCTCCGCCCGCCTGCTCTCTCGCTCCCTTTCCCCGCACCGCCGCCCTGCCCGCCGGCCCAGCCCGGCCCCACTCTGCTCCACCCGGCGGCGGCTTCGCTGCTGCCCGCGCCTACGGCCGGGGAGGCGGGCGGGGCGGCGGGCGGAGCGGAGAGTGGACACCGCCCCCGGCGCCGCCACCGCGGCGCCCGCCTGCAGCGGCGGCTCTGGCCGCGGCCGGGTATCGGGGGCTCCCTGGTGAGCCGGCGCCCGTGTCCCGATACCGGTGGGGTGAGTCCCCGCCGCGCCCGGGCAGGACGCGGAGCTGGGGCGAGATGTTCTCCTCGGGCTCTGCGGTTTTACCCACTTGTCTCCACTCTGACACTGGTGCAGACCCCTTGGGAAACACGGCCCAGGAGGACATCTTTCTGTGTGTGTATCCAGGAAGCCGAGCAGTAGACGCCCATCACCCAACGTTCAAACATTGTGTCAACACAACTAGCTCAATGAAACAAATACCTAAACTACAAAAGCAAAAGAAAAAAAAAAAGCGCACAAGTCTATCTGAACTTGAAAAATGAGGTGGCGCACATGGGCATTCTGCCCTCCGCAGTGATGACTGTGTCTTTAACTACTTAGGCTGCTTCTTGGGGTAGATCTAGCAAAAAAGAATGACTTCTGGAAAACACCAAAACAAAATAGGAAATGTTTAGAAGAGATTAGGAAGAACGAAAATAATTGGAATTGCTTTGTGTTTTCTCTAGTCATATGCAAAACAGGGATGGACAAGAATGAACCTAAATTGCTTGAGAAAGAAAAACTACAAATGTTTAGGATGGACGAGTGAATTTTTCTTGTTCTATAAAATTGTACTTCATAAATGCTTTCAGTGATTATTTTTATTATAAGCTTAATAAAAGCTTCATAAGCTCTTTTCCTAGATGTCTGCTTTCTACTGCACTATTGCCCTGAAGTTTTTTGAATCAGAATTTGCAGCATACGGTGTGCTACAGACTGGGGCAATGAAACATATTTCTATAGCTGTAAGTTTGTCAGATTCATTCCAGATTTTCAAAATCAATAGACAATATTCTTAGCAAATGGATTATGATGTTTCTTATAATTCAGTTGGTTTTGTGTATCCAAACTTCTGCAAATTAGAGTTTCTCCATAAAACTCTTCTGAACTTACATCTAGAGATTAATCTTGCAGCAAATAGAAAAGTTATAAACTAGAAAACTGATTACAGTGTTTGGGTGATAGAATTGTGAGGAAAAGCTTTGTATCTTCACTCCATATAACTACCTGGACTACTGCTTCCAGGAATCCTCAGCATTGGAAAGACACAGACCTATTAAAGCGGGTCCAGAGGCTGGACACAAAAATGATCAGAGGATGGAGCACTTCTTCCATGGAGAAAGGCTGAGAAAATTGGGGTTATTCAGCTGGATAAAAGAAGGCTCTGGGGAGACCTTACTGTGGTATTTCAATACTTGAAAGGGACCTACAAGAAAGACGGGACAAACATTTAAGCAGGGCATGTTGCAATAGGACAATGGGTAATGGTTTTAAATGAAAAGAAGGTACATCTAGACTAGGTATAAGGAAGAAATTTTTTACCATCATGGTGGTGAGACAGTGGAACAGGTTCCCCAGAGAGGTGGTAGGTATCCCACCCCCGGAAACAGTCAGGGTCAGACTGGATGGGACTCTGAGCAATCTCATCTAGTTGAAGATGACCTTTACTGCAGGGGGTTGAACTAGATAACTTTTGAAGGTCCCTTCCAACCCAAATCATTCTATGATTCTATATGGGGGAAATGGGAGATAAAAGAGGAAGCTTGCTGTTTCTGATTTCCAAAACACTTAACTGTGCTGAAAGTATTTTTGCTAGTCCACCATAAGCCAGCTATCACATCCTATTTAAAAACAAAACAAACAAAATCTCCAGAATCTTAATATTATCATCTGAAGTCTCTTGCATATTCATTGACTACTGTTGGCTTTGCATCCAAGTCTGATGGATATGAAATTATACCAGGTCAAGAAAAATCTCATTCCCCAGAATAATATTTTTTATTTTGTTTGTTCTGAATTTTTTGCCATGGTCAGTTACTAAATGAAGCAGATGAAAGCTTACCTGTCCTTTTATTTTCTCAGCTTAATTCCTGTTTATATGATTTTTGGAACATCTGCTAGGAGTAAGATTTCGTATTATTTTTATTCAAGCAAAAACTGCTATATAAGATATATAAGATATGATAATGAAAAGGAATAGAGAAAAATAGACAAAAATACTTATCTTATATCCAGTTGTGGCTTCCTAGGTATTTATACTATATGTTTATAAATACCTAGGTATTTATACATTACTATATAAATGTTAAAAGGATATTTTAACTTCTAACTTTTACTTTGGGCAGAATATTACTTCTTCCATAATTTCTGCTTTAACAACATGTCAAATCATAATATTCTGTAATTTTAGAGAGAAAACTGGGATATGCCTACAAGAAAATTCTTTCAAGGCACCTTACAACATATTAAACATAAGCTTTGTTCAAAATGAAACGAGTGATTGTTTAAGGTACAGAAAGCTCTTGAAGGATCAAAAAGGAGAGGAGCATTTCTTTTCAATTGCCAACCAGAAAAGTACATAATCCTATTCAATTAACTGACAAAAAGACATTTCCCTTACAGGTTAACCCTGAAAGATTTGCAGGTTTGTAGACCTGATTTTGCACACAGTCCCTCCCTCCTTTTCACCATCTCTCAGATACACAGAAATTGACTTGTGGGATCTGAGAAAAATTGTATGTGTTCTCAAATAGCAATAGAACTAATGGTATGATTTTTATTCATTTATTTATCTATTTATTTATTTTTCTATTTAATATTTCTAAGATTGTGCTGTACATTGTATGAAAGAGGCAGCAGTTTCAGAACATCTGACATTCCCAGGCATTTTTCAGTTCTTCAGTCTCTGCAGTAAGAGGTAACGAACAATGCAACAGAACTTGTTCTACCTCCCTAATATGCATGTCTTGTTGTCAGAACTCTACTGTTTGGAGAAATTTCTGCCAGAGAAATTGAAGAAGGTGACATATTTCCAAAGCTAATCAGCCATTTATTCTTGAGTATATTATTTTGCGATATAACATGCATGGAAAATGATTTTGATAGTACAGTTAAGCATATCTCTATTAGTAAGTTTCAATGGCTTTATCTCTATTATTTATTATTGCTTTTGTATATGTCTTTTAAATAAGTGCATGAATTGAATTATTATTATTTATTACCATAAAAATGCAATCAGAGGTAGCAAAATGTGTGTAAAGTGCAAAGCATTTTCATTCTACATTCTACAGAGTGTAAACTAGCCAGCCTGAGCTTATAAGATGATCAGTCTGGCATTTATTTTCAGCTTCTTTAGATAGCAGCAGTCAGAATGATCAAATATTCATTTGCTTATGGGTCCCATGGGCAGCTTGTGGTACAAATACATAGCAAGGCCACTCTGAATCACAGGAAGACAGCCAAACTGTCTTGTTACTTCCCCACAAAAATAGTTTTGTGTTCATAACATATTAATATACTGTATTTGCTGTGAAAAGTCATAATTTATGAAGAAAGATTCCCAAAGCAGTGGCCCCAAATGCTTTATCCTCTTTTTCTACCAACATCTGAGAAAGGTAAATGTTTTCAGAAATTCAACAGGTACCAACTCAACGGAGCCAGAAAGAAGAGGCAGGAAAGACAGTGTGTGAGTCCTTCTGAAGAATACATTGCCATGTACTAATGTCTTATATATTTTGTAAAAGATTATTTCTGATATGTCTGTTGATGTGAAATCATCATTTGGAAAAGGAAATGATTCAGCAGATAATCAAGTCACAAATTATTTCAAGCGGAGAAGTTAATTTCTAATCTACCTAACATAAGTGCAATCAAATCTATTTTGGACAGACAATATGTATTGCCATTTGCCTCTGTCAGAAAGTAATTTATTTAAATGAAATGGTCTTCATCTGTGCTTGCTTGACAAAATGAACAATTTTTGGCAGTATATGTTTTAAATCTGACTTTATATGTTCCCTGTTTACATTCATGAATGATTCTCCAGTGACAGTTATCAGTGTTTAAAGTTTCCAGCCAGTGTAGACTTTCACCACACTTGGAAAGAGGAGCACAGAGAGCTCCCTCTCAGTTTTTAGCAAAGCAAGCTGTTTCTTCCTTTTCTTTCCTGACCAAATATGTGCTGAGTCTAAAGGGAAAACTCTGGTTAAAAGTTCATCAGGGAACTGGCAGTCAGTATTTAATCAAGACATCTGATAAAAACATGTTCTCGCATAAAGCTGTTTCCAATCTAAAACAAACAGTAAATTTTATTATGATAATAGAAATTTGCATAGACAATACCAAGAAAGAAACATTACCTAATGCATTATTAATGCCCTGGAAGCCTACCTTCAGCTAGGCTTAGACAATTATTTTGCTCCAGTCCATACATCACATACTAAGTAGAGTCCTTTGTGAACTAGCATGAAACATAAATCACTGAGATAGACAATATTAAAAAACTGTTGTTTTCCATGGGCATTGTAAAAAGCACAACCATTAGTTCCTGCATGAAACTGCATGCATATTTAGTACTGGCTTACTATCCAGAACCATAGTGTGTATTTCATGCCGCAAATACAGAGTAGCGAGATAGGCTGATATCTTACCCTGTTGCTTCTTCCTGTGTCAGAAAGGTAAAAAAAGAAAAAAAAAAAGACCTCTTCTGGTTTTCTGGTTTACAGGGTGATATTTTGTATCTGATTAATCTGGTTTTGGAGATCAGAAAATACTGTCACCTCTGCTTTTCTGTCAGACAGCTAGTGACAGTCAAACCTCTGGTCCTCTGAGACT